AAAAAATTCCAAGAGTAGCAGGAATATTGACTTACTGTTCCTACGACACATCCCTTGATTCAACGAGAATGGCGGCTGGAAGGCGACCGCTAGCACCGGCGATGCAGTTAGCGTCTCCTCGCAAGCGTGCTGTCTGATCATTCTCTAGTCTTAATTAGGTCACGGAGCCCCTCCTTCAGCCGCCAATCTGCTTGATTCAAAGGATACTTACTGTTCCTATCATATTTAGATAGGAGCGTTACAACGTCAGGTCCAACACAAAAATTAAAAATTGGATTTGTGAAGTTTCTCCAAATCACGCGCAAATTTTCTGGTAAATGTAGGCTTCTTTCAAAATCTTCACAACCCATTCTGGAGGGGGCGAGGCCAAAAAATCCTTGGGTGAAAAACAAGAACGCCCATTTTAGGAATCAATACAGTTGTTGGTGTGTATTGGCGAGCAGTTTGGGAAGGCGACGTATCGCCGGTGGCTTGGGAATATGCTGCTGTCAGTGTCCCAGTTGCTGTCACAATGGCCCCACTGGGAAGCTTTTTAGGGTCACATCTACATAGACAGGTAAGAGAAAACCTCACTAATGGATACCCTTACTACTCTGCAGGTCCTAGCTGGAGCGATTTACATACTAGAAGCGGCTGCTTTGATCGGATTTTTGCTGACGAAGCCTTCCACTCTGCTTAGTGAGTTGTTAGCTTATTCTCAAGTTTTTAGTTGCATAACTCTCTGCTTCTTTTAGTACTGCAAGGAGCCGTGATTATTCTCATGTCATTTGCATTTTTCACGGTACTTGCCAAAATGGGAGAAAAAATCATGGTCCATGATGCCGATGTCAAGGTAAGGGAAGTAGAGGTAGAGAAAAAAGGAAAGTAAAGGGAAAAAGATGAAACGAATGTTTCAAAAAAGGTGAACTGAGACATAAAAAGATTTACCTTCTTACTTGATGGAATTTCTAGACTTTCACTCAAGAAAATTCGTATTCACCCAAAATTCAATTTTTCCAATTAAGCTCTTGACGACTTGTGACGTTTCTCCTTGAGTAAAATGGAGAAGCTGCGTAAGTGCAGAAGCCATATACAAAAGCCAGCTGACAAAGTTACAACAAAAGAATGTTACAACAGCTAACAAAATGTGTAAA